AAAGGTAAGAATCTCTACTTGTGAATTAGGATTACTTCACTCTTTTCTTTCTTCCTTCTAGATTTCTTGTGAGAAGATCTATCAAGGAGATCCGGTTCACTGCCGACACTTCGAGAGTGTGAATAACCGAAGAGTTCGCTGCCTACACTTGGAGAGTGTGAATAGCCGAAGGGTTCGCTGCCTACACTTAGAGAGTGTGAATAGCCAAGGGTTCTCTGCTCATACTAGGAGAGTGTGAAAGGACAACGGTTCTCTGCCAACACTGAGGATTGTGTAAAAGGACAACGGTTCTCTACTGCACCGGGGAGTGGTGAAAAGAGTGTGTTGTAAAGGCTTCTCCGCCTTGCTGTGGGTGCAAAATGAGAGTCACTATTGGTATTAATTCAATACTCAGAGGTGCCTCTGGGGAGTGGATGTAGGTATGGTTTTAGACCGAACCACTATAAATCTGGTGTCATTTACTTTACTGTTTTTATGTTTCCGCATTTTTAATTCTTAGTCTTAAAAACTCTGTGATTGAAAAACTTTTTCTACAAAACTTAAAAAAAACAATTTTATTTCGATTTAACATAATTTTAAAAGAGGGTTTAAAATTTTTTAACTACCAATTCACCCCCCCCTCTTTATAGCCTTTGGGACATTAACTTAGGCTTAACAACCTAATTACTAGACTCAACAAATACAACTAAAAAAATCAATTAAATTCAATCAAATTTAGAATTCTTAAATCAACCTACATTTCACATGGTTCCTCAATGGATGCAAATAAAGAACCATATGCACCATGATCTTTTGAACAAAATGAATGAAGAAATTGTGATTTCAAATTCTACTCAAGATTACTGGAATTGGGTAGCTCTGCAACCTTCATATAAAGTAATTTCACTGGCAACATGCGATAACACCATATTGCAAACATCATCTTCAACATTACAAGCACTATACTCATTTCTTACAGGAAAATGACGCAGTAACCCACAATATACTTTGACGTGTCATACTTAAGTCCTTTGAGAACACTCAACTTAAGATGCTCTAACTTCGGGTTACTTTGCATAGGGTGATAATTGCCCCCAATATACATCTGTGCATACTTAGCATCCATGCATAATTGACCACTATACATCAGAATAAATGAAGAACATCCACAACTCATGCTTTCCTTCTACTAACTCACAAATCATCCAATAATTAAGCAAAGGCAAGATTTGATTTCTAAAAAAAGGTAAAACTTGCGTATACCCAAATTTTTCTAAATTTAAAAGAATTCGCAAAAAAAAAAAAAAAACAAACTTCTTACAAAACTTCTTGAAATTTTTTGGATACCATCATAAAATCCTCCCAAAATTTTTCCATAAAAAACACCCTAAATATGTAACTCACATACATGTTTAATATCTTAAACACATAAATATTCAGGAAAAATCTCATGAAATTCCAAATGTCACATACTCAATCGCCACATTTTCACAAAATCTCATATTTACTATATAAGAGACAATATCTCAACCGAACAAACACCACTTTCATGAACGAATAAATTGTTTTACGAAAACTAAAAACAAACAAAAATTTTGAGATTCACGGGTAACATTAGCTAAAAATACCGACTAAGAATAGTAAACAATTAAAACTACATAATACAAAAAAAAGAAATTAAAAAATTAAGAAAAAACTTACTTGCTGAGCAGTTGTTGCTGGATCGCCGGAGCTGCACTCGTGCTCTAGGTTAGAAATGAACAAAAAGTCGATTCACATGAGGGAATTTTAAAACGAGCAACTTACCTTAAGTAGCTAGTAACATAATTACTTTTTAAATAGTTCTTAGTTTAAAAATTAACCCAAAACTAAAGAAAGTCCAATACACAACTCACCTTGGCTTGTTGGTTGAGAGCTTATGCTTCTAACTAAGAGGTCTTGGGTTCGAGTCTTTGTGTATGTGTTGTGTGTGTGAGTTTGCCTTAAATGGCCTAAATGTCCAAAAAAAATGTCCAATCATTACTTTTAGCAAGGAGAGAGAATAGGTCTTTGACTTGCCCAAAAAAGAAAAAATTGCATGAATTTTGGCAAGTTAGGTTTCTTTCGTGTTTGAAGTTACAAACAATTCTTTTTAAGTTTTAAGAATAATGGAATCTTATCTTCTTCTTAGAAACCATTATTTAGTTTTTAACAGCTATTTTAGATTGATCAAAAGTTAAATATTTTGGCTATTAACTAAGTCTAACTTATATGTAATCATTCTTCTTTTGCAGAAAGTCAATGATCTTTAGTTATCAAAATGTTATTGAAAGCATCGCATGCAAGATGCAAGTTCATTCTTTGAACTAATACGCTGATATTGTCACTCTAATTAGTAGATTGATAGTAGATATTATAGATTATTAATATTTAAAAAAAAGTTTAAATCTCAAAATTATCCACCGAATATTCATATATGATAATTTTAATCTTTGAGTACAAATATTTCTCCAATTTAATTCATTGATTATAAAAAATTGATTAAAAAATTATCCTTTTGGGACTAAATTGAGATTAATTTTATAAAGCTAATGGACTAAATTATGATCAATTTTATATCACAATTATATCATGAGAGAGACTATTCATGATCAATTTTGTATAGTCAAGAGACTAAATTAGAGAAACACGATACTCTTGGACTAAATTGGTCAACAAAAATAGTCTCTGAATTATTTTGGCATTAAAAAAAAAACTCCATGAGACTATTTTATTGCAAGAATTTCATAAACAATATTTTATATAATATATATTCAAAATTCATTGCATAAGTGTGGTTTCTTTTAGGAGGGAAGTGCTCTGCTAGGGTTTGCTTGCCTTCCCGCCGCCATCGTCTCTTCCCTTAGGGGAAGAGGCTTTTCCTCTCTACCATGGAGCTTGCTGCTCAAGATTTTCCTCCTCTGTCTAATCTCACTCCGAAGGATTCACCTTCTGTGCTTCCCTCTGGTTCTTATGCGGACAATGTTTCGATTCCTGCGGTTAAGCAGTCCAACTTTCCCGTCTCTTTTGTCTCACCGGCTCCAAAGCTATCTTTTAGGGGTAACGATCTTGCAGAAGGAGCCAACTTTTGGAACCTATCGCTGGTGGGTTACTCGATCGGGCCTCGCCCCTACTACGAACGACTGCTTGCAGCTATGAAAAAGGTTTGGAGCATCAAAGGTGCGATGTCTCTCCTTTCTCTTGCCGATGGGTTCTTTCTGTTAAAGTTTTCGGCTTTGGAGGACTTGGAAATGGTTTGGAATGGGGGGCCCTGGTTTTTTTTGGGTAAGCCATTCATTTTACAACGTTGGTCCCCTAAGTTTAAGCCGGTTAGGGACGAATCTTCTTCTATTCCCTTATGGATAAAAATTATGGATTTGCCTTTGGCGTTGTGGACGCCTTTAGGTATTTCCCGGATTGCTAGTTTCATCGGGGTCCCGATCTCTGTTGATACGCTAACTGCCAATCGTACCAGACTCACATTAGGGTGTGTGTCCAAATAAATAAAAACTCTCCTCTTTCTAGTGAAATCCCCATTGAAATTGAAGGAGAAGACATGAATCTCAAGGTTCTTTATGATTGTAAACCATCTCCTTGTGAAGGCTGCGGTTCACTTTTTCACCCTTTCTCTCTTTGTTCCTCCAATCCTAACCCAAAGCCCATTATTCCCCCTTCAAATCGTCAGAGGGGACGTAGTTCCAGCAGAAATCCTAATCAGAGGAATCAGCTCCCGTCTTCCAAACCTCCTATCCCTCGTCCCTCTACTTTGGTTTCTGAGGCTTCTCCTGTGGTCTTGGATGGGAATGTGTCTACTTTAAATTTATCCAAGCCTATTATTCACACTACTTCCCCAGCCATATTGTCCCCTGACCCTAAACAGCTGCTTACTTCTGCTATCCCTGGTTTATCTAAAGACCTGACTTTACCAAATCTAAATCTTCCTATGGATGTTGCTTCTTCCTCGGAGCATTCAACCCCTCCTTCCTCTATCCTTCCACCTAAAATTCATACTGCTAATAAGTTTGATTCTCTTCAAACCGATGAGGCAGACCTACCACCTCAAGACAACCCTCCAAGTGTTGTTGATACTCCTGGATCATCTTCTTCTCCGGCTCAATCCTCTACGGATTGTTCTTCTTCAAACTATCTTCAAAACTCCAAAGTCAAATCCAAATCCCCCAAAGAAGCCAAAAAAGTGAAGCCCAAAACTGCCAAAAAAGGCAAAGGATCTCGTTATTAATGTCTGCCTCACCTTTAGCTTGTTGGAATGTGAGGGGGTTTAATAACCCTAACAAAGTCCGTCTCTGCAAAGATTTAGTTACCTCTCATTGTCTCAAAGTTTTGGCTATTCTTGAAGCAAAAGTCCCTATTCAGTCGACTTTGGACCCGTGGTTTCTTCACCGGCATAAAGTGTTTGAATTGGAGGATAGCTATAATAATTTCTGTTTTTCTAATCCGGGTAGGATTTGGCTCAAGTGGGACAGTTCTGTTGTCTCCTTTATCCCTTCTTTCACTTCCTCTCAACTTATTCATGGTTCTTTCTCTTGAGGGGCTATCTCCTTTGAGCTGTCGGTTGTTTATGCTTCCAATAATGAGAATGAAAGGAGAGTTCTTTGGGATGATATTCAGAATGTTGCTTCTTCCCTTGATCTTCCCTGGATCATTTTGGGAGATTTTAACTGTTACCGTTTTGATTTTGAAAAAGCTGGTGGTAATCCCCCGTCTCAAAGTTATTTGGGGGAACTCAATAAATGTGTTTTTGAATGTGGTATTCAGGACCTTGCTTCGGTTGGTCTTCTCTTCACATGGTTTAATCAGAGGGTGGACATGCTAATTCATATCAAATTGGATATGATGCTGGTGAATTCTGAGTTTCTGATTTGATATCAAAATTTTTATTATAAAATTGAACCTCCGGGGGGTTCAGACCATTCTCCCCTCATTCTGTTGGATTCTGTTTCTCAAGTTCCTAAGGTGCATTTCAAATTCAAAAATTATTGGATCTCTTTTAACTCTTTTTGTGAGGATTTGGTGCAGGCCTTTTCGAAACCTCATGAGAACAGCCCTATCTCAGACTTCTATCAAAGCCTAAGACACCTTAAGTCTGCTCTTAAAAGAAAAAATTGGTCTTCCTCCCATTTTCTTACTAATGCTATCAATGATCTTAAAAACTCTCAGAATTGTTGTTTGGTTGAGATTCAATCTGATCCTTTGAATCCGGTTTTAATCAATACCCTTAAAGAGATTAATGAACAGTTGGCGACTCTTCAGTCTGCTTGGTCGTCTTGGATTTCTCAGCGTGCTAAGGCCTATTGGCTATTGAAGGGTGAAGATGACTTGGGGTTTTTATTTGCTAAGATTAAAGCTAGAAACAACAGAAATTGCCTTAGGGAAATTAGCACTGATAATGGCTCCTTCACTTCTCATTCCAATATTTCTAAGGCCATTATTGAGCATTTCAAGGTTCTATTTAACAAACCCATTTCGGCTGGGTGGGAGGATGTTCATATTCCTGTTGGAATTAAGGTTCCTGCTTAGTTTCACCCGATGCTTCTCAATTCGGTTTCTAATGAGGAGATTAAGAAAGTTGTTTTTTCTAGTAAATCAGATGCTGCACCTGGCCCGGATGGTTTCTCCTTTGATTTTTATAAGAAAACTTGGCATGTGCTTGGTGCTACCTTTTGTAGAGATGTTAAAAGTTTTTTCTCTAATGCTTACCTTCCTAGAGCTACTAAAGCCACTGCCATTGCTCTTATTCCAAAAAACTCTCATGCTACTCATATTTCGAATTATAGGCCCATATCTCTCTGCAATGTGTTCTACAAAGTGGTGGCTAAATTGCTTGCTAATAGTCAAGTGGGGTTTATTGCCAAGCACTGTTCTTCTGATAATATTATTTTGGCGGCTGAGTTGTTGAGGGAGTTCAATGCTAATAACAATCTTTTTTGTGCGAAGTTGGACATTCGGAAAGCTTTTGATTCTCTTTCTAGAGATTTTCTGTTACGTTGCTTAAAGCTTAAAGGCTTTCTTGACCACTTCATAAAACTGATCAATTGTTGTATCTCTGATGTGTATTTTTCTATTTGCATCAATGGTTCTCTTGAAGGTTTTTTCAAGTCCTCTTCTGGACTTAGACAGGGTTGTCCCCTCTCCCCTATCTTGTTTTGTATTGCCATGGATGGTTTGTCTTATTGCCTTCAACCCAATCTTTTTCATGGTATCTCCTGTAATGGGGTTAGAGTTAATCATTTGATGTATGCTGATGACCTGTTAGTGTTTGGGAATGCTAATCATGATAATGTCCAGTTCCTTTTACACTCCTTAAACTGTTTTGTTGAGGCCTCTAACCTTGCTGTTAATCCCACCAAAAGCTCTATTATATTCTCTAAAGATGTTAATTCCCCCACTTCTATTGCTAATCTTCTTGGTATCCAGAATTCCAATGTCTTCCTCACCTATCTGGGTCTCCCCATCTCCCCTTCCAAACTCAATTTTTCTCACTTCCAACCCCTTCTGAGCAGAATTTTTGCTCTACTTGCGGGTTGGAAAGTTAAGTTTTAGTCTTTTGCAGGTAGGCTACAATTTCTGAAATTTACTATTGCAAATACGTTAGCTTATTGGATAAGAGGGGCTATTATACCTAAAAGATGTAGATCTCTTATCTCTAAGCTTTGTTCTAAGTTTTTGCTGCATGGTGACACAGAAGCTAAGAAAATTCATTTAATTGCTTGGAGCTCCATTGTTAAGCCGAAAATTCATGGTGGTTTGGGTATCCTATCCTTTGATGCTCATTATTTTGGTATTGCTGCTTCTTTCATTTGGAAGATTTATAATTCTGATAATCTGGTGGGGAAGTTGTTTAGAGCTAAATTCATGTCTCCTTGGAAAACTTGTCCACCGTCCACTTCTGCCTTCTGGAAAATGATATGGTCTCATGCCATTACTTATAAGCACTGCTTCTCCTTCCTCATTGGTACAAACTGCAGTTATTCTTTTCTTTGGGACCCCTGGTTTAATGGTAAACTGTTGGGTGATGTTATTTTCGATGTTAGGCTTGCTACTGCTGTGGTTGGTAATTTCATTTCTAATGGCGCTTGGTGTTTACCTGATGTTTTCCCTATGGAGGTTAAAGCTCAGATCATGAATATTTGTATTGGGGAGGAGCCGGTTTTGAGGTGGGATGGTTCCAGCAAGCCTACTTTTAAGAATTTCACTACTAAATTTTACTCTAATCTAGAGTTGGTTAACTGGCACGATTTTGTCTGGTTCAAACAAGCTCCTCTTAAGTTTGCTTGTTACACGTGGATGGCTTTGATTGGTAAGCTTAAATGTGCTGATATTCTTATTAGGAGATGAATTAAAGTTAATGCAGTTTGCTCCTTCTGCAACTCTGACAGGGAGACCCTTCAGCATCTTCTTTTTGAATGTGATTATTCCTTTTCGGTACTTTTGTTAGTTCTGCCAATTTTAAAGGAGTTTTTGTTTAGGCCAAATCTGTTTTTGGCTTTCGATTTGCTGGATACTATTTCCTCTTCTACTACTTTAGAGAAAAATTTTTGCTTCTCTGTCATGTCTTGTGCGATTTACCATATTTGGAAGGAGAGAAACAATAGGAGGTTCTCAAATTCTTGGAAGTCTCCTAATGATGTTGCCGAGAGTATAAAATCTATTATCAAAGTGAAGGTGAAGTATTGGAAAAATATAGAGAAGATCCAACACAATTATGCTGAATTTTTTTGAATATGCGGTTGTTGTTCTGTTCCTTTGGCTGGGGCAAGCTGGGTTGGTTGTTTTTTGGACATGTCCCATGTGGAGTGCTCGAAGGAGATGGATTGCTCTTTTCAGGTTCTGGTTGGATGTTTTGCATAATGGCAGTAAGGGTTTCATTTGTTCTGCAGGCCGTATTTCTTCAAAGATTGATATTTTGGTGGTGGAATTTGGTGCAGTTCTCGGATTTCATGCTGGAATTGATCCTTAACGTCCTTTTGGTTGCTAGGAAAGCTGCTTCGGTCCCTTAGGGAATTTTTGTGGACTATGATGATTGCTGCTGGGCCTTTTCCCCTTGGAGGGTCAGATTTCGACAACGAGGGGATCTCTTTTACTGTGAGCTTAACGAGTATAACTTCTTACTCAGCAGCCTGAGTCCTAGATGCTTTGCATCTAATACCACATTTTTGGTTCTATAATTGTTATTTTAGGCCAAATTTTAAGAAGCGGCATGCAATTTGATAGATTTAGTAATAAGAGCGTGATTCAGTGAAAATTTAAAAACGAGCAAACAAGCCATAAAAAACGAAAAAAAAAGCCATACCTTTTGGCGCATTCATAGAATGCGCCTAATAATTTAGGGCATTCATAGAATACGCCAGGCCATGTAACGCATTCTTGACGTATGTTGTGAGAACGCGTTTACGTATGGCGTATTGTTCATGGTGAATTTTTTTTTTCCGGAAATTCAAATGTTCCTCTCGTAATCCGAGTTAGGTTGTCGTGTTTCGAGAACTGTTTAAATAAGTGAGCTGTTGGTAAAATGATTATTGTGCTGTGAGGTATTGAGAGTAGTTTGTAATCATTTTTTTCTTGAAAAATAGAGCTGGCCTATTAATTTTTATGAATTAACAATGAAAATTGAATGGATTATAAAGATTATAAGAAAAATTAACTTCATGAAATTTCAGGAATATATATTTTATTTGAGTTACCAAACGAGCCAAAGATCGCCGAATTCCGACATCACTTACACTCAAATCTTTTATCTCATGTTTGTGTGCTGAATATTCGTAAAACGCTCAGACGTAAACTTACAAATTCTACCACCGCGTATATTCTAGCCCGCAACAATATTTATTAATTATTGACTTTTTTTACAATATTAAAACTATTCTCTTAAATTTTTTAATATATTTAATTAATCCTCTAACTATACTTTTTTTACAAAACTATTTTAAAATTAATAATTTTACAAATTCATTTTCTCATTAAATTAGATTATTACACTTTATTATATACTTTATATACATGAACGGTATTTTAATATTTATAATATTTCATATATTTTTATAATATTTAGAAAAAAATTAATTTAATACTATTCTATGAATGCGCCAAAAGGTATGGCTTGTTTGCTCGTTTTTAAATTTCCACCGAATCACGCTCTTATTACTAAATCTACCAAATTGCATACGGCTTCTTAAAATTTGGCCTATTTTGTTTTTTAGAGTGGTATAGTTGTGGTTTCTTTTGCCTACATAAGTTTTTTTTGTATTTTTTCTTATGTTGGGCGGTTCTTCTTTTACATTTTCTTCTTTACTTGTAATTTTTTTCCAAGTAATAGATGGGCTTAATGCCCCAAAATTTCTCAAAAGAAAAAAAAAAAATTCAGTGCGTCACTCATATTTGATTGAAATTAATAAACAATATTAAAAAAAAAAAAAAAAGAAGCAAATGGGCACAATATCGACGGTATCGTGATGATGGCGACGGCGGCGGTGGGTCTCTCTAGCAGCGTCGTGACATTGTCGGTGCAAGGAGCTCGCTTGAAGTGTGAGGTTGCGATACAAGAGGCGTGAGCGATGTCGCGATGAAGATGCGTGTGAGCAAGGTCGCGTGAGCTGCCGGAGGTCTCATGCTTGTCTGAAGCAGTGAAGAGTGCCACCGGTGCATCACCTGTGTAGCGCAATGACGGCAATCGGGGCAGAGGCTTCGCAAGGAGGCCGCGTCAGGGTTCTTGCACGAGATGTATTTGAAATTCATCAGAGTCCCACGATTTTCAAATACACTTAAGGGATGTTTGGTTGTACTTTTTTATATGGTTTTGCATTTTGAATGTTTGTGTTTAAAAAACTTGTACTTTGCAATGTAAAATTTTAATATATTTAAAATACATAATGTAATTCATTATCAGTATATTTGTACAAATTTCAAATACATGGCTTGTATAAAGTGATGCGGGACATGCCCATTGCCGCCACCGTTGATCACAGTTGGCAACCTCTGATCATTGGTGTTGTCGCCTGCCACTACCTGTCATTGGTCGCAACCGCCATCATATACATGTTATGTAAAGTAAGAATAAAATATATGCAATCAACAACAACAACAACATCAAGCCTTTATCTCACTATATGGGGTCAGCTACTTTAATATTTTTTCTCTATTGTGTTCTGTTAAGATCGAGTCAAATTCTCATTTAAATCTAATAAAGAAAAAATATTTATTATATTTTCTAACCAAGTCTTTTAGGTCTACTTCTACCTTTCTTAACATAGGCCAAATCTAATACATCTACTCTCCTAACAGGATCATCAAAAGGACATTGTTTTACATTACAAAACCATCTATGACGACTCTCTCTAATATTATCTATCATTGGAGCTACTCCAACCTTTTCACAGATATGCTCATTTCATATCTTGACTCTAAGAGTAAATCCACTCATTCGACTGAGCATCCTCATCTCAACAACACTTAATATAATGCTTCTCTTTTTATGGCTAACATTCTACTCCATAAAGCATTACAGGTCTCACCACCATCTT